ACATCGTAATAGGATTTTTTTCCCCACTTTTTTTCTTTATATTGGTTTCTTGTTGATCGTCATAGAGACTTAAGTGTACCAACACAATTTTGCCATTGGAGCCTTGATTAATCTAATTTTCTTCGGTGTAATTTTGAAAAAGCAAATTTACATGGACACTAAATATTATAATGAAAGTAGAAAATTGGAATACATGACACAAACAGCATCTTTGACAATTTGATTGGATTTTGGAGAGCTAACTACAGCTGAGGACAATATTATCCTACTCTAGGTTAAACCAAATATTATTACACTTTGTCATGTGTAATAAATGAGTCCTAATGCACAGGTACTGTTTCACATTACCTATCCAATCATTGAATGACATTCACAAGCCTTGCTACTTAAACCAGCACAAATTCTCAGCAGGCAATCAAAATGGTTACAGGAAAGTCTAAATTTGTAACAATTAGAACTGTTTTTATTACAAAAGACTGCAACACAAATAATGAAATTGGCTAATTCAAGTGAGTAGCCGGAAAACTCACTGATATATGTATTACTTGATTAAGTACAGATAACAGAGAGATGTAATAGCTAGGAGGCAACGGTATCCATGCCACCCTATCTAAGGACAGTCTGCTAAACCTCCATCATGAATTAATGAGTTGGAGTGTTGGAATGTAATGATCCTTTAAGTCAAATGAATGGCTATATCTCCTAGCCCTAGCCTCCATTAAAACCCACAGAGAAGGTGCTAACCATGTTGGAAGGAATGAAGGCAATCACAAGAGGTGATATCTTACACAGACCCATTACCACAAAAAGTTCAGCATTCATCAGAACCCTGTAATACTAATCCCAGACTACTCTCTGTCATTATCAATGATAGAGACCATCGCTACCCAAACCTACACAGGCATCAAAGTGCTATTTACTTAGGACTGCAGGGGACAAAAATCCCCTGGAAATCTGAACAATCTCTCATACCACTTCTTCCTTAATATCCTCTTCTAAACTATTGAAGGATTGATCCTTGTTGGCTATCTATGCTTCATCTCTAAGGAACAGTGTTTTGATTTTATTTATCAGTCCTCCATCCCTTTCTCCCTTTAACAACCTGTTGATTTTATTTATCAGTCCTCCATCCCTTTCTTTCTTTAACAATGTGTTGATTTTATTTATCAGTCCTCCAGCCCTTTCTCCCTTTAACAACCTGTTGATTTTATTTATCAGTCCTCCATCCCTTTCTTTCTTTAACAATGTGTTGATTTTATTTATCAGTCCTCCATCCCTTTCTTTCTTTAACAACCTGTTGATTTTATTGATCAGTTCTCCATCCCTTTCTGCCTTTAACAACCTGTTGATTTTATTGATCAGTCCTCCATCCCTTTCTGCCTTTAACAACCTGTTGATTTTATTGATCAGTCCTCCATCCCTTTCTCCCTGTAACAACCTGTTGATTTTATTTATCAGTCCTCCATCCCTTTCTTTCTTTAACAACCTGTTGATTTTATTTATCAGTCCTCCATCCCTTTCTGCCTTTAACAACCTGTTGATTTTATTGATCAGTCCTCCATCCCTTTCTCCCTTTAACAACCTGTTGATTTTATTTATCAGTCCTCCATCCCTTTTTCCCTTTAACCATGTGTTGATTTTATTTATCAGTCCTCCATCCCTTTCTCCCTGTAACAACCTGTTGATTTTATTGATCAGTCCTCCATCCCTTTCTCCCTTTAACAACCTGTTGATTTTATTTATCAGTCCTCCATCCCTTTCTCTCTTTAACAATGTGTTGATTTTATTTATCAATCCTCCATTCCTTTCTCTCTTTAACAACCTGTTGATTTTATTTATCAATCCTCCATCCCTTTCTCCCTTTAACTATGTGTTGATTTTATTTATCAGTCCTCCATCCCTTTCTCCCTTTAACAACCTGTTGATTTTATTTATCAGTCCTCCATCCCTTTCTCCCTGTAACAATGTGTTGATTTTATTTATCAGTCCTCCATCCCTTTCTCCCTTTAACAAACTGTTGATTTTATTTATCAGTCCTCCATCCCTTTCTCTCTTTAACAATGTGTTGATTTTATTTATCAATCCTCCATCCCTTTCTCCCTTTAACAACCTGTTGATTTTATTTATCAATCCTCCATTCCTTTCTCCCTTTAACAACCTGTTGATTTTATTTATCAATCCTTCATCCCTTTCTTTCTTTAACAACCTGTTGATTTTATTTATCAATCCTCCATCCCTTTCTCTCTTTAACAATGTGTTGATTTTATTTATCAATCCTCCATTCCTTTCTCTCTTTAACAACCTGTTGATTTTATTTATCAATCCTCCATTCCTTTTTCTCTTTAACAACCTGTTGATTTTATTTATCAATCCTCCATCCCTTTCTCCCTTTAACTATGTGTTGATTTTATTTATCAGTCCTCCATCCCTTTCTCCCTTTAACAACCTGTTGATTTTATTTATCAATCCTCCATCCCTTTCTCCCTGTAACAATGTGTTGATTTTATTTATCAATTCTCCATCCCTTTCTCCCTTTAACAACCTGTTGATTTTATTTATCAATCCTCCATCCCTTTCTCCCTTTAACAAACTGTTGATTTTATTTATCAGTCCTCCATCCCTTTCTCTCTTTAACAATGTGTTGATTTTATTTATCAATCCTCCATCCCTTTCTCCCTTTAACAACCTGTTGATTTTATTTATCAATCCTCCATCCCTTTCTCCCTGTAACCATGTGTTGATTTTATTTATCAATCCTCCATCCCTTTCTCCCTTTAACAACCTGTTGATTTTATTTATCAATCCTCCATCCCTTTCTCCCTTTAACCATGTGTTGATTTAATTTATCAATCCTCCATCCCTTTCTCCCTTTAACAATGTGTTGATTTTATTTATCAGTCCTCCATCCCTTTCTCTCTTTAACAACCTGTTGATTTTATTTATCAGTCCTCCATCCCTTTCTTTCTTTAACCATGTGTTGATTTTATTTATCAGTCCTCCATCCCTTTCTCCCTTTAACAACCTGTTGATTTTATTTATCAATCCTCCATCCCTTTTTCCCTTTAACCATGTGTTGATTTTATTTATCAGTCCTCCATCCCTTTCTTTCTTTAACAATGTGTTGATTTTATTTATCAGTCCTCCATCCCTTTCTCCCTTTAACAACCTGTTGATTTTATTTATCAATCCTCCATCCCTTTCTCCCTTTAACCATGTGTTGATTTTATTTATCAATCCTCCATCCCTTTCTTTCTTTAACCATGTGTTGATTTTATTTATCAGTCCTCCATCCCTTTCTTTCTTTAACCATGTGTTGATTTTATTTATCAGTCCTCCATCCCTTTCTTTCTTTAACCATGTGTTGATTTTATTTATCAGTCCTCCATCCCTTTCTCCCTTTAACAACCTGTTGATTTTATTTATCAGTCCTCCATCCCTTTCTCCCTTTAACAATGTGTTGATTTTATTTATCAGTCCTCCATCACTTTCTCTCTTTAACAATGTGTTGATTTAATTTATCAATCCTCCATCCCTTTCTCCCTTTAATCATGTGTTGATTTTATTTATCAATCCTCCATCCCTTTCTCTCTTTAACAATGTGTTGATTTAATTTATCAATCCTCCATCCCTTTCTCCCTTTAATCATGTGTTGATTTTATTTATCAATCCTCCATCCCTTTTTCCCTTTAACCATGTGTTGATTTTATTTATCAATCCTCCATCCCTTTCTTTCTTTAACCATGTGTTGATTTTATTTATCAGTCCTCCATCCCTTTCTCCCTTTAACAATGTGTTGATTTTATTTATCAGTCCTCCATCCCTTTCTCCCTTTAACAACCTGTTGATTTTATTTATCAATCCTCCATCCCTTTCTCCCTTTAACCATGTGTTGATTTTATTTATCAATCCTCCATCCCTTTCTTTCTTTAACCATGTGTTGATTTTATTTATCAGTCCTCCATCCCTTTCTTTCTTTAACCATGTGTTGATTTTATTTATCAGTCCTCCATCCCTTTCTTTCTTTAACCATGTGTTGATTTTATTTATCAGTCCTCCATCCCTTTCTCCCTTTAACAATGTGTTGATTTTATTTATCAGTCCTCCATCCCTTTCTCCCTTTAACCATGTGTTGATTTTATTTATCAGTCCTCCATCCCTTTCTCTCTTTAACAATGTGTTGATTTTATTTATCAGTCCTCCATCCCTTTCTCCCTTTAACAACCTGTTGATTTTATTTATCAATCCTCCATCCCTTTCTCTCTTTAACAACCTGTTGATTTTATTTATCAATCCTCCATCCCTTTCTCCCTTTAACAACCTGTTGATTTTATTTATCAATCCTCCATCCCTTTCTGTATTTAACCATTTATCAATCCTGTGGGGAGAGGTAATCTGTGTGGGGAATTGTCTGTGGGGAGAGGGGATCTGTGTGGGGAATTGTCTGTGGGGAGAGATGCTCTGTGTGGGGTTTTGTTTGTGGGGAGTGGTGATCTGTTTGGGTAGTTGTCTATGTGGAGTGGTGATCTGTGTGGGTAGTTGTCTGTGGGGGGAGATGCTCTGTGTAGGGAGTTGTCTGTGGGGAGTGGTAATCTGTGTGGGTAGTTGTCTGTGTGGAGTGGTGATCTGTGTGGGTAGTTGTCTGTGTGTAGTGGTGATCTGTGTGGGTAGTTGTCTGTGGGGAGAGATGCTCTGTGTAGGGAGTTGTCTGTGGGGAGAGGTAGTCTGTGTGGGGAGTTGTCTGTGGTGAGAGATGCTCTGTGTGGGGAGTTGTTTGTGGGGAGTGGTGATCTGTGTGGGGACTTGTCTGTGAGGAGAGGTGATTGTCTGGGGAGTTGTCTGTGGGGAGAGGTGATCTGTTTGGGGAGTTGTCTGTGGTTTGTGGTGATCTGTGTGGGTAGTCGTCTGTTTGGAGAGGTGATTTGTATGGGGATTTTTCTGTGGGGAGAAGTGACTGTCCAAAGAAGTAATTTTTACGAGAAGTATGACCCACTTAGACTTACCTTTCTTGCTTTTCTTTGCTTTTTTGCCACACTTTTTGTGTATTTTCCTGGTGCTTTCACAGAAGTCCTTACTGACTGAAGGTTTGAGGGTGTCCACTCTCTCCTTCAGTTTGGTACTAGGATTACAATCTCCCCACTGCCCACGTGCATATTTACAAGCTGAAAGATACCACAAACATATGTCTCAGTCATCTCTAGAAACAACAGATTATTGTGTGTTAAGATCAGAAGAAAAATATGTACTCTTGGTGATCAGACTGGTTTTATCAGACATAAGGATGTACTCAGAGCAGAAAGAACTACTTGATTTTGGTTTGATCAGTACTGCTTGGTAAACAGCCTCAAAGCAGAAATACTTGGTAGACAGTCTCAAAGCAGAAGTGCTTGGTGGAATGTTTCAAAGTAGAAGTGTTTGGTGGAATGTCTCAAAGCAGAAGTGTTTGGTGAAAAGTCTAAAAGTAGAAGTGTTTGGTGGAATGTTTCAAAGTAGAAGTGTTTGGTAGACAGTCTCAAAGCAGAAGTGTTTGGTGAAAAGTCTAAAAGTAGAAGTGCTTGACCTCAGATATGTTATGTTGATGAATGCAATTCATGTCAGAAATCCTTGAAAATTATTTGAAAATGATTACAATTATCTTAATTTTCTCAACTTATCGGTCACTTGTCTGTGTTTCATTGATGGCTTGTGTGTAAACAATATTCTAAAAAGACATATGGAGTTAACAGTCAGTACTAAAGCAGGGGGTTATATATATTAGTTTATTACTATAACATACAGAATAAAAGTGACGCAGGGCAATATTTGTTGATTATCTTATGTTTTAATATCTTGGTACAGATATATTTGCATTGTGAACGATAAACATTTCTATACTACTACACATCTATCTCCCTGTTTGACCTGTTAAATTGATTTGGTTATCTGTGTTTTCACTACTGGTCAGTTTCAGAATTATCCTGTTGTTACAATGTGTTAATCAATGGTCAGTGTTTTCTTTGTTGTCACTGGCCTTTTTGGTTCCCTGTAAGACATGAAGCAGACATAAGACAACAGGATACAGAACCAGAATGACCCTGTTCCACAAATAGCTTCAGTTTTCCATATTTGTTGTATTCAGTGTAAATGTCTTTTCAATCTGTAATCAGAAATGTATCTTTATAGTATTTCTGGTCTATTTCAGCACCTCTCAGGTTTACATATGTCTGATATAATGTGTATGCATATAACTCCGCACAATTGGAATCTAGATATAACAATATGTTCTGTTATTTTGATAGTGTAGATATGTGCTACCTCATTATAGGTAATTGTATTGATATGGTGTTCAGCATGGTCTACTTCAATTGTAATTCTTATATAATTGCAGGAAAGTCCATTGTATCATTTTCTAGGTACTGATCAACAAAATAAATTGAAAGAATTCTAGAATTCTTTTACACAGTTTACTTATCTATATTAAGCTACTGTAGGATACTTACACTTTCTACATTTGCCTCTGACAATGATGGTCTGTTCACAAACATCATCCCCAGAGATCAGGGTCATTGTTCTGCTCATGGTGTCAGTTGTCATGTCACAATCACTCCAGTCCCCCTGGGTGTACTTGCATCCTGGAACAAATTGTAAAAACAAATTACCTCCCCTGTCACTTTCACAGACAGAAATGCCACTAGATTACACTCTGCTAAGAGAGTATTAAATGGTTGAAAATTACCAGAAATAAATACTAATGGCACATTGCTTACAGGCAAACATCAGATATAATGAAGCCAATCAATGTCATCCTGTCTTACCCATTAACAACCACTGTAACAAGAAGTATCCCATATATCATTGATTCTCACACAAGTTTTTCTGAAGAAATAAAAAGTTGACTTTTGAAATTCACTAAGTTTGATCTTCTTCGTAGAGCTCATATGAAAAAAAGGGTTTGTGACCTCATAGGAAGCAGAAACAGTGGAAAGAACTGGCTCAACATGTTACACAGTCATTTTACTGAGTCTCTTGTGAGTGAAAATGAAAAACTTGTGACAAGATACTTGGGTTATAAATCTCATGTGAATAGGAAACTTGTATAAGATTCTGTTTATCAATTAACTTAAACACTTTTGCAAAAATTTATCAAAACAGACATTCTATTAGACTGATACAAAGTGGCCTTTAGGCCTTTACAGTCATCTGATCAAAATACAAAGAGAATGTGAATGTAAGTGCTCTTTTCACAAAATATCAAACTATAATAAAATGTGAACAATCCAGTATTTTTTGGAAATGATTACAATCATCAAATGTTGTTTCTAGTCATGCTTGTTTGAAATATGTTCAGATATATGAAAGGAAAAGAATTTCAAAGGCTAATCCCCTGATTTCACCTGATCAGCCTGATCAGGGGATATTGGCCCTTAGGGACTCAATCCTTTACCTGATTATGTATCAGGACAAATTTAGCTGAAATCTATTCAGTCTTATTAGAGGAGAAAAATTTGAAAGCCTAATTCCCCAATATCCTCTACAGGGACTCACCCCTTGCAATTTGCCTGCAAGGTTTGTCCTTCATTTATATAGATTAAGATTGCACTACCTCAGTGATGTTTTAGACCAAATTTGGTTGAAATCAAATCTGGAGTAAGCAAACTTTAGCTGAATTCCTTATTTTGGACCCTACCCTCAGATCCTCAGGGGTTGAGTCAACTCCATTTATAAAAACTCTGATTGCCCTCCCGAGTGATGTTACTGACCACATTTGGTTGAAATCTGCTCAGGCATTAAGGAGGAGTAGCATTTTAAAACAAATTAAAGCAAAATTTAAAAGGATCCCTCTGTTTGGGCCCGCCCCCAAGCTCCAGGGATTTAATCTATATTATAAAAAGTGTGATTGCCCTACCTTAATGTTTCAGATAAAATTTGGTTGAAATCTGTCCAGACATGTGGAAGGAGAAACCTTTTAAAGTGTAGATGGCACACAATGATGGACGAAGCATTATGGAAATAGGTCATCTTGACCCTATAGATGACCTTATAAAATCTAAATAGGCAATACTCTCTTTCCATATCTCTCCCTTTGGTGCTGTTACAAACACGCATGGAGCCATGAATTTATGATGTCACAATTTAAACAATGGGAACCTTCAACCAATCAAAAATCTGCTGAATGTTATTGTGTGGTCATAAAAAATAATCCTGTAATTGGTAATGATTGACTAATAAAAGAGTAGTTAAATTATACCTTTCCTAGACATTTTCTCTTTACTGCTAAATCTATGGTTGCTGACCACTTTACACAAACAACAATGTCAGGATATCATTAAGATTTCACCATATCACCACACTACACTGCTTTGTAATGACAGCCTACACTAAGCTGACCAATCCTTGTAAACCAAAGTGATTTGTTATTCTAGTTTCTATATTAAGTGCATACAGCAGGTTAAAGTTAAACAATCAAATACAATAATCTGTAGCTTGTTAATTACTTAGAGAGAAAATATTTATTTGCGATCTGTTACCCAAAGGAAGAAGTATTTTTTCTGAGATCTGTAACTTTAATGAGGGAGAATTTAAGATTTTAATGACTGGGTTCTCCTACCACTTCGTCTATCCAATAAATAGATTAAACATCTGTTAACAAGAAATTTCCAATGACGTCAGGCTGCTTTTTTTTTCTAAGTAGGGCATCCTCTGACACATAGATGAAAAAAAAGTATGAGAAAGTAGTTAACTTCACACAGAATCCTACAGCAATTTTGAACCTAAAGCGAGTGTCATGATTCCAATTAAAACTGCTCAGTGTAAATATCTTAATTCCAACCCTCTTGAGTGTTACTATCCTAATAGAAAAGCTGTCTTGAGTGTAACTACATCGTATCTAAATTAAAACCCTTCAAGTTTTAACCACTGAACCAAAAACCTCCTTGAGAATCAACGTTCTTATAAAAGCAGTGGAGAGTATTCACCCTAACTGAAACTCACTTGAGGGTTAATATCCTAACTGAAACTCACTTGAGGGTTAATATCTTAACTGAAACTCACTTGAGGGTTAATATCCTAACTGAATTTCACTTGAGGGTTAATATCCTTACTGAAACTCACTTGAGGTTTAATATCTTAACTGAAACTCACTTTAGAGTTAATATCCTTACAGAAACTCACTTGAGAGTTAATATCCTTACTGAAACTCACTTGAGGGTTAATATCTTAACTGAAACTCACTTGAGGGTTAATATCCTAACTGAAACTCACTTGAGGGTTAATATCATAACTGAAACTCACTTGAGAGTGAATATCTTAACTGAAACTCACTTGAGGGTTAATATCCTTACTGATACTCACTGGAGGGTTAATATCGTAACTGAAACTCACTTGAGGGTAAATATCCTTACTGAAACTCACTTGAGGGTTAATATTGTAACTGAAACTCATTTGAGGGTTAATATCCTTACTGAAACTCACTTGAGGGTTAATATCATAACTGAAACTCACTTGAGAGTGAATATCTTAACTGAAACTCACTTGAGGGTTAATATCCTTACTGAAACTCACTTGAGGGTAAATATCCTTACTGAAACTCACTTGAGGGTTAATATTGTAACTGAAACTCATTTGAGGGTTAATATCCTTACTGAAACTCACTTGAGGGTTAATATCGTAACTGAAACTCACTTGAGAGTGAATATCTTAACTGAAACTCACTTGAGGGTTAATATCCTTACTGAAACTCACTTGAGGGTTAATATCGTGACTGAAACTCACTTGAGAGTGAATATCGTAACTGAAACTCACTTGAGGGTTAATATCGTAACTGAAACTCACTTGAGAGTGAATATCTTAACTGAAACTCACTTGAGGGTTAATATCGTAACTGAAACTCACTTGAGAGTGAATATCTTAACTGAAACTCACTTGAGGGTTAATATCCTTACTGAAACTCACTTGAGGGTTAATATCGTAACTGAAACTCACTTGACGGTTAATATCCTTACTGAAACTCACTTGAGGGTTAATATCTTAACTGAAACTCACTTGAGGGTTAATATCCTTACTGAAACTCACTTGAGGGTTAATATTGTAACTGAAACTCACTTGAGGGTTAATATCGTAACTGAAACTCACTTGAGAGTGAATATCTTAACTGAAACTCACTTGAGGGTTAATATCGTAACTGAAACTCACTTGAGAGTGAACTGAAATCTTAACTGAAACTCACTTGAGGGTTAATATTGTTACTGAAACTCACTTGAGGGTTAATATTGTAACTGAAACTCACTTGAGAGTGAATATCCTAACTGAAACTCACTTGAGAGTGAATATCGTAACTGAAACTCACTTGAGGGTTAATATCGTAACTGAAACTCACTTGAGAGTGAATATCTTAACTGAAACTCACTTGAGGGTTAATATTGTAACTGAAACTCACTTAACGGTTAATATCCTTACTGAAACTCACTTGAGGGTTAATATCCTTACTGAAACTCACTTGAGAGTGAATATCTTAACTGAAACTCACTTGAGGGTTAATATCCTTACTGAAACTCACTTGAGGGTTAATATTGTAACTGAAACTCACTTGACGGTTAATATCCTTACTGAAACTCACTTGAGGGTTAATATCTTAACTGAAACTCACTTGAGGGTTAATATCGTAACTGAAACTCACTTGAGGGTTAATATCCTTACTGAAACTCACTTGAGGGTTAATATCGTAACTGAAACTCACTTGAGAGTGAATATCTTAACTGAAACTCACTTGACGGTTAATATCCTTACTGATACTCACTGGAGGGTTAATATCGTAACTGAAACTCACTTGAGAGTGAATATCTTAACTGAAACTCACTTGAGGGTTAATATCGTAACTGAAACTCACTTGAGAGTGAATATCTTAACTGAAACTCACTTGAGGGTTAATATACTTACTGAAACTCACTTGAGGGTTAATATTGTAACTGAAACTCACTTGAGGGTTAATATTGTAACTGAAACTCACTTGAGGGTTAATATCCTTACTGAAACTCATTTGAGGGTTAATATCCTTACTGAAACTCACTTGAGGGTTAATATTGTAACTGAAACTCACTTGAGGGTTAATATCCTTACTGAAACTCACTTGAGGGTTAATATCCTTACTGAAACTCACTTGAGGGTTAATATCCTTACTGAAACTCACTTGAGGGTTAATATTGTAACTGAAACTCACTTGACAGTTAATATCCTTACTGAAACTCACTTGAGGGTTAATATCCTTACTGAAACTCACTTGAGGGTTAATATTGTAACTGAAACTCACTTGAGGGTTAATATCCTTACTGAAACTCACTTGAGGGTTAATATCCTTACTGAAACTCACCTGAGGGTTAACAAAAGTATCCTTAACAAAAGTTAATAATCTAATCAAAATCTCACTGAGTGTTAAAATGCTAATGAAAAATCTGAAGGGTTGTATTAATATCCTTATCGTAATCATCTGAAGTTTTCTAATATCCTCATTGAATTTTTTTTAAGTTTTCTAATGTCCTGTCTAAAATCATCGGGAGTGTTTTAATGTCCTATTACAAATCTCTGTATTGTTTTAATGTCTTAATTAAATCCTCTTGAATGTTAAGATATCCTTATT